AATAAACAGAGCACCTTGCCTGTAATGGGCTAACAAACAACATAATTCCTACTTTTCAACTTCAAAAATCCAGGGCAAATTACAGTCCATAAGGCTATAATGCATATGGCTTAATGTGATCTACAGTACTTTATCAGTTTACTGTGTCTATATACAAGAAAATTTACTTGTCAAGGGAGAAATGTTGGGCATTAATGAGTTAATTTCAGTAGTAATTCACTGAGATGAAATTATTAATTCAATTGCATGCAAGATTAGGAAATATCTTGCTTCGTCTGTTACTATAATCAGGATGATACCATATGTAACTAAAGGTTCAAGGTACTGTACTGTACATTTACTGAAGTTCTAACATTGTAATAGTACTTGTTGTCTTTGACAATGTATGTGGACATTTAAATTTGACAGTAACTTAATGTGTCAATGATGCATGGTTTGAAATCAAGTTGTAGAACTTTATTTCTTGAAATACATGGCTAGTTGGTATAAAATATATTTCACAGAAAACTTTCTCGCGTACGTTTTGTATTAGATGAAGCAGTTGACTTAGTATAATTAGACTGATTGCTAGATTTCCCGATACTTCCCCGTTTTTGACGAAGTAATTGCATTACGTCGTTAGAAAGCGTTCCGCGTAAACTGACGCTCTTGGCAGATTTTACCTCGTTTTTTTAAAATTATTTCTACGCAATTTTTAATGTTATGAAAACTGAGTGATGTTTTTACATGGTTTTGGTTTTCATAACATTAAAAATGTGTAAAATAATTAAAAAGATGAGGAAAAGTCTTCAAGAGTGCCGGTTTAACTCCTGAAATGGAGTTAAAATGATTTAACTCCTGAAAAGGGGTTAGATTTTAACTCCAATATGAGAGTTAGATTAACCCCAAAAGTGGAGTTACATTTTAACCCCAGAAATGGAGTTATTTCTAACCCCAAAAAACGGATTATTTTGAACCTTTTTTGCTAACCCCCTTTTCCGGAGTTATTTTAACTCCCTGAAAATAACAGTGTAAGTACAATGGGAATTTAACATAAGTAAAATGCGTTATATATATACAAAATTATTCAAAACTTCTTTTATTAAATTACTAAACAAAAAAGTTATCAAAACATACCTTTGAGAAAACGAGATCTTCACAGCAAAAATCGCAATATATTTCAACAGTTTTTAATCGAACGGCACGTTGAGAATAAATATCTTGAATAGTAATGAGCCGCACTGATTTGCGCGTTGCATTTCGGGATGACCGTTGTTCCTCCTCTGTTATGCTATGCTACAGTGCATGTAAGTTAGTGACATTTAGCCAATCAGTAGATAAGGCCTACTCCGGGTCCAAAAGTCGCCTTAAGTCGCAGTGACATTGGGCGACATTGGGCAACTTAAGGCGACTTAGGAAAATTTGAGGAAAATTTGGCCGCGACCTAGGGTGATTTAGGGCAACTTAGAGCAATTTAAGGCGACTTAAGGCAACTTAAAGCAATTTAAGGCGACTTAAGAGGAATTCCAGACAGGCGTATCTGGGATGTATATTTAACACCCCACTCCTGGATTACCCAATTCTGACCATAAGTCACCAAAACTGGTTTGTCCCTTCATATCTTCATATCCAAACAAACTTTGTCATTAGTTGCTTATGACACTAGATGATATACTACGTCTATAGAAATTGTATATAATTATGTCTATAGAAAACATTCTTGTTTCAGAAAGCCAATCATAAAACATATCATTGTTGGTAGATGTCTACTGATAAAACACACTTTTGCAAGTATATAATGCAAATACATTCCACATCATTATTGCTCAACTGTGCCCCTTATTTTTATTAAATCACAACATACATAAAATAGCAACATGTCTAACGGAAATACTACATAGTTCTCATTAATTTAGTTTGACTATCCACGAGAATAAGTTTAATTAAAATTACCTTAATTAAAATTAAGTGAACAAAAAATACAAATATCTATTCTTGAAACGTCTCAGTCAATCCTTTTGATGATGCACTGTGTAAGGTGGCATGAAAATTTTTATGTTCTATCATCCTTTACACGTTTTTGAAAATTGTTTCATCCTTCTCTGGGATCCAGCCGATTTGCTTTTCCCCATAATTTGGAAAATAACTGTAGAAAGCCGCCATCTTTGTTTTACGGTCTGTTTGCAGGCGTATAGCCCTAATTAGTTTATGTCTTAAATTTGGTCTATGGATACAAATAGAGGCGAATATATGCGATTCGAAGTTCGAACTATCCATCATGGCATCAACGAAAACCTTTAACATTTTAAAAAGTTCATTGAATCGAGTGAGATGCAGAAAAAAAAACTACAACAGAGAAAACATCATATTCTGTGAACGCAACGTATCGCTAATCAAAGGGTTTGGTACGTACGCCGTTCGCCGGCTGCGAAATTCGACCCGTAGTTTTTATTTACAGGATCAAAATATTGTGTTTTTAAATTAACGACGAACGTTGTCATACGGTGTGAAGTGCGTGTATTCAGCCGGTTATCAGGCAAATGATACATCAAAGAAATAGCATTATTTCTTGCATATACATCAGTTACTATATAGACGCCTTATATTTTACTGGAACATTCTGCGAGATGAAGCCAGCACCATGTTCTGCCGATCTAGTCTTCCATGCACTGGCTGAACAGTAATTCAATTGTACCAACATTTGTGGACTTAATGTCAGTGTTTTTTATCGCGGTTGGCTGGTCATTTCGGTTCTGGCAATTTTCAGTTTGAGAAACCTAACTTGGGAGTATTGTGGATGGTTTAATCAATTTCTGTAGAGATGCCACAGGTTGATGTTTAATTTTCCTTATACCCTTTACAATGTTAGCATCATATATTTTAAAAGTAAAAGATATACATCAAATGTCAACACATATTTAAAAGTTGCACTGTATCCGGGTACAGTATATTCAATGTGAATGCATTTTAATAAGTGGCAATGCGCCCTGATGTGGGCTACTCTATTATTTTACTCGGTCTAACTCCAGATGATTTTACTCATCAGGGAGAGAGTGCTGCCACTCAATTGGTTAATTAATCAGAGTATATGCCCATGCACCCTGTTAACCCATTAAGTAACAATGCGGCATACACTATTATTTTACTCTAACGCCAGATTATTTTACTCTGTCTAACGCCAGACAATTTTACTCGTCAGGGGGAGAGTGCTGTCACTCAGTGTGTTAAAGTTATTCCAATGTCACTCAACATGCTCCCTATCTCACTTTGTGACATTAGCTTTTACATTCTGTAAGGCAAATATATTTAACCCATCGAGTCGCATTTCGCCCTTATCATGCACCCTAGCTACTTTAAGCCAGACGATTTTACTTATCAAGGGGAGCGCGCTGGCGCTTAAAGTGCCACTAACCCCCTAAATTTTCTTTTCATAAAATCAATAACCGCTATTTATGGAGTACAAAAATGAAAAAATTGTCTTAATCGGTTGAATTCTCGCTATTCTATGGCTTCTCAAAGTTTGAAAAATTGCCCTAAAATCGACGCCATTTTGTCCCACGAGCGAGCGCCGATGATCTGGGCTTGTGACGTCAATTGGTGAACCGGCTGTTGTGTCAAAACAAGTGTTTACAGTGCTAGGCGAGTTTGTTAGGCATGCGAACGGCGAGAAAATGCCGAAAAGATGCGTTGTTGCCGGTTGTAGCAACATAGGAGATAAGGAAAAAGAATTATCGTTGCATGCAATTTCTTATTCGGGGGACGAACGGCCCGAAGCGAAAAAAACCCGAAAGAAATGGACTGATAAGCCTCAAACGTGCAAAATGGACGCCGACGTCGTATTTAGTCATATGTTCTGAGCATTTCAAGCCTGAGGATTTTTTGCGACGGTTTTCCCATGTCGAAGGTGAAAGCTTCGTTGGCAACAGATGGCTCAAAAGGGACGAGATTGGAATTTGTGTATTCCCAACAATCATGCCATCAGCTGACGCACAGAAAGTTTCAGACAGATACAAGAGAATGGTATGCTAATTTTGTATTTTATACATATTTGTGCGTAACTTGAATTTGTTTGACTAAACTGATTTAATTAATAAACATATCATTATATAACATGCTAACACTTAAACTTGATATACAGTAATTGGGTAAAGCTTATAAGAAAGACAATTTCGTTTAGTCTGTGAGAGCTTTCTTTGTTATTTCTGTCTTCAGCCTTGCAGATTTTTGTAATTTCCGTGTGCAATTTGATACAGTATTATACAGTGATATAATTCTCCATCTATGTCTCTTGCTATGCCTATGTTTTAGTGAAGTCAATATGCCCACTGACTATGACCCATAGGTGTGTATTTAAGGATGTCTGAGGAGGGTATCATATTTGACTGTCAAAATAATTATAGTGAAATATTGATCAATGCATACCATGTACCCATGTATATATATATCCATGTTTGATTTGTACAGATTATGTCGAAGAAATATTTCAAACTTTTCTCAATGTTACCAAAGATGATCTTAAAAAGGCAGCCAAGCAACTCAAAGAGTACGGTGTCTTTGCAAAGTGTTGCCCACTGCCTATGGCCCATAGATAAGTTACCCAGTATGCTTGCTGTTAATATAAATCTTTTTGTTACTGTAGTTTCACTACTACGTTGTTGAACAGAGCCAAAAGAAGTCTAAAGCAGCACCAAAATGCAGGGCATGTGAACAACCACCCATGAAAGGACACAAGTTTGTTACAGACTGTCCAAGGAATGAAAGGAGCACATCATAGTGTATTATATGGATAAGGCATTTGAGGAGGGAGGGCATATTGGGAGGTGTTTTTTTTTCAGAAGGGCATATTAGGATTATTCAGGATGTTGGGGATTTATAATAGAGATTGGGGCTTATATTACAGCAGGAAGGGTCTTAACAGAGGGGAAATATTTGGAAGGGTGGTGCTTATTAGGGATGGAGCTTACTAGGGAGGGAGCTTACTAGGGAGGGTGGTGCTTATTAGGAGAGGACTCAACAGAGTGGGTACTTTATAAGGAGGGTAGTGCTTATTAGGGGGGGGCTAATAGAGAGGGTGTTTATTGGGAGGGTGGTGATTATTGTGGAAGGGGTTTAAAGGGAGGGGGCTTAATAGGGAGGGGGCTTAATAGGGAGGGGGCTTAATAGGGAGGGGGCTTTATGGGCAGGGTGGTGATATTTGTTAAATAAATTATATTATGCACTACTTGTATCAAGTTTGCTCTACTTTACTTGTTTTCTATCCCTGATGAGCACTAGTCAAAACTGATTTATGTTGATACCAAATATGTTCCATATATAGGTTTCATTAGAGTATAATATTTAAATAGTACAGTAAAACCCTGCTTTACAAAAGAACCAGTTCAGACTAGAATTCCAAAACAGCTTCTTATTTTATCGAAGAAGCAAAAAATTAAACATCAATTAAAGAAAATAAGCTCTTTATAAAGTAATGTATACACTGTTATTTTGTAAACATCTACGGTAGGTTCTGATACGATGGGTTTTACTGTATGTTAGCTTAGTCATTAATTTATTCAAATATTTAAATCTGGTAAATGATTCATCTTTTGTGAGAGGGAATGTCTTCCTTATTGCATGGTATGCACATGCAGCAGTGGGATTCTTGTTTTCCAATTACACCATACACCATCCTTGTAAACTTTCTGTATGCCACACTATGTAAAAACCTAGAAGAAATGAACAACTTTATCATAAGTAATCGTATGTAGACAAATGCAAAAACTATTTCAATAAAATAGTATTTTATATTACAAAGAACAACCCAAACTATAATAGCTATATATAGAAACTATACATACATATAGTTCCTGATTTTGGTTACACCAACATTCATTTTTGAGATGTTGATGCTTATTGGAGACACTGGTCATGGAACAGTGTGTACCCCCATAAATATATCCCTGAAAGAGGATAAAGCTCTATATGTTGAACAGTCTGTTTAGTCTTTACATTTTTACACAAATTTTGGAAACAATAGACCTTACCATTTATTCACTATTGACCAAATGGCCTCATTTCCATGTTTTCCTATTTTCAGGGCTCAAAATAACGGGAGATAGGTCTCCGATCAACTTGATTTTAGCTCGGTCAAAATCTGTTTTTGACCGGTTATTGATACACTTACACTAACAGTGAAACAAAATATTAAAAACTTGTTTCGATATATCATAGTTTTAATTCAAGACGTCAGCAATCACATTGGATGGGATGAAAGTGTGGCCGGTCAATATGGCCGGTAAGGTAAAAAAATGACCAGTCAAGAGGTATTCTTGGCCGGCATTGTCCGTTGACCGGCCGTTATTTTGAGCCCTGTATTTTAGCATGGCAGACGCACATGAAAGTTAAATGTTCATGTTTCCTGCACAAGTTTTTCTCTCATTGATCTTAAGTCCAATCACAAGCTTATTCTTTACTCTCTTGTGCACAAAACATGAGTTTTAATATCACATGAAAACGAGGCCATTGGGTCAAAAGTAAATAAACGGTAAGGTCTATTGACTTTCAATATAGGTAACTCTCCCATTAATGTTTAGTAACATTGTCTGTTCTTTTAGACAGAGTAAGATAAATATGAGCACACTATTGAGACACAGTACAGCTTCCAACATTCCTCTCAATGGTCTATCATTATCTAGGTGAAATATGAAACAAATGGTGTTCTGTAATTGTACTCTGCCTGATACTGCTTATTAGGGAAAGTCCATAAACATATAGTTCCGCATGTTCCTTTGTCAAATAAAATTGCCTGGTGTTAGAGAGATTTGTAGGTAGGGTGCATAGCAGCTTATTATTAAATGGTTAAGTAGCAACATTCCAGCTCACAACAGTATAGTATAGTATAGTATAGTATAGTATAGTATAGTATAGTATAGTATAGTATAGTATAAGCAAAATTTGCGACTTACCACTCATAAAGTTTTGCAGTTTCATGCAAACGCTTCAATATCTCGTCTTTAATGATCTCGTTCGACCTCATGTCCACTCCTCATCAGCGACAGGATCATCAACCCAAGCATAGCTGCATAGGCATGATATAAAGGCATCATCATCGCTTGAAACCAGATATATCGGCTTCTAAGCCTTCTATCCCTACATTTTGTCATATTCTGATAAATAATCGTTCCCTGATGCGAACGAAGAAGCCTCGGAAGATGCATCCGTCGAAGACATTGCAAAAAGATATAAAAAACCGCGAATTATTCTTCGAAATTAAAGCTTCTTTGTAATGGTGTTTACAAGGAAGCTTCGCATGAGTTCACCAATTGACGTCACACATTCCTCTCTCACCAGTCTCCCAAAACTCGGTCGTGGAACAAATGTGTGCAAACTTTTAGAAGCCATAGAATTGCGAGAATTCAACCGATTAAAAAAAATTTTCCAGTTTTGTACTCCATAAATAGCGGTTATTTATTATATGAAAAAAAATTTAGGGGGTTAGTGGCACTTTAATGGGTTAACAAGAGGCTAAGCATGATATTAAGAATTACCTAGACTGAGGTCAATGTTATCTGCGACACCTGTAGCGGATAACATTTGACAGAGGTCCGGATAATTGTTGATATCATGCAAAAGCTGAATTCAATTCAGCAATTGTTTTATTCTACTCTGCCATGACATTAGGGAGTTTATGCATGTACGACGGCGGCGTCAGGACGACGGCTAAACAAACTTTTTGAAATAAATAATTGTATGAAAATGTTGTCCTGTATTTACTTTCTTATGAATTTAATACAGTTTAGAACGAGTAAAACAGGGCTTTATCCTTCAGAGCAATTTTGATCAACGCTGTTAGAAAAATCGCCTGCCACGGCTTGAAATGCTAGCGTACTTTACAAGACGTGAAAATATGCATTTTGCCGTCGTCAACAGAGCATGAACGACGTCTGAAACTCCAGGTATACTTTTAATTATTATTTCTTTTGTGCTATTGGATTAGTGATATTGTATTGATAGCCGTCGTCCTGATGCTGCCGTCTTACATGCGTAAACTCCCTGTCATATTGGCAGGAAAACTAGTCAGTTGACACATTAAAAATTACATCACCTACAGACAAATTTCAATGTTGTGCGTGGCAATAAGACATTGAGGATTATCTAGCTGTAGGGTTTAACCAATAACAATTGAGATTGCAGCACCATTTTTGCACACAATACTATGCAGATGTCCATCTCCATTGTTTTTTTGCGTAAGCGCTATTCGGCATGATTTATCACTCAGCAAGTGCCGTAAGCAGAAGAAGTCACCCCCTGGAAATATTTAAGATGGCACACGTCCGGGGGGGGGTGACTGCTTCTGTTTACGGTACTTGCAAAGTGACGAATCATGACGAATAGCGCTTACACAAAAAAAACAATGGAGATGGACTTCTGTATAGTATACTGTGACCATTGTATAAAAATACATGTTTTTTGTTGCTTTATTAAACAGTCTGATCTAAATAACTAACCAACTGCATTCTAGAGCCACTTAAGTGGCAACACCAATATTTCCACTTTCCAAATTATGAAAATTGGTTAAAAACTAATTTAACATGTTACATGTAGCTATTTGTTATAGGCAACACAGAAACCATATTAAAACAAATATCCATTACATTTTTGGTGTTGCTACTACTTGCGATCATGACATTATTTAGATCAGAAAGTTTTAATAAATTAAGCAACAAAGATATAATAGTTATGTTGGCTGATATAAAAATTTGCAACTTAATAAATAATAACAATATAACAGGGGCATATTATATTTTGGGATATTAAATTAAAAGTTGTTTCCAATGAAAACAAATTTGCAAGTTATATCCAAATGTAAACATAACCAATGAAACAGACAAATTTCGCCTCCATGACAATTAGATATAAATTGGCCAATTCAAACAACGTGCGATTATCAGATTCTTTCTTTAGCTAGTAGCGAACAAAGAATCTGCTATGACATGTGCTCTGAAGTGGTCAATTTTTAATTGTCATGTAAATGAATGTTGTTTATTACTGTTACAATCTAAATAAGTCGGACCTTTCATTGTGGCGCTATTTGCAGATAAATATACGCCTGGCGTACCTATTTGTAAAAAAATAAAAGAAGACCTTTTCCGGAGACAAATAGTTTCCCTGCCAGACGTTCTTATAGCTCTAACCCTATCTAGGACACTAGGAGACCTATGGTGCAAATCTATAATTATGCAAATGACACAAGTAGACAACGGATGTTTATGAGTCCACAACGTATATTTATAGTTGGTTATTAAAAATCCAAACAATGAAACCTTTTAACTTGTTCTTGTTTATTTTCCACTATAGGTTAGGGTTTGTGTTCAGGGTTAGATGTCGCGAATTTATTATTATGATAAATCCAAAATGTGTTTAAGAATTTACTCGTATAGTAAATTCAAAGGTGGAGCTCATGCTGGACAGTGCATTTTTAAGGATTATTCAGTGATGATGCAAAACTGCCAAAAGGCCCATTTTGTTGGCCCTCCTCCCAGAATAGTATGCGATCGCCGAAGGTGTAAGCCGAGTACCAGAGGCACGAGTTAGCTAGGGGGTTCTGGAGGCATGCCCCTCCCAGGAAATTTTTAAAATTTGTGTCCCTCAAACAGCATTTCCCGCATTCTGAGAGCACATTTTAAAAAAATCTCAGCTTCTCAAAACACAGGCGGCCCAATCTCGCAAGGGTCAGTATAGTAATGTATATTTTTGTAAAATATGTCGTAAAATATAAATTTTAAAATAACTTGCCCACTTGATAGTGTGTTTAACTATAGTGATATTAGTCCAACAAAACAGTAATAAAAGGAGAATACACAATATCAAACAGGCAAGTCAATTTCATTTTAAAATTTATATTTTATGACATATTTATACAATAATTAACAATTATT